CTCCTGGGTTCAAGCAATTCTCTGGCCTCAGCCTCCCGAGTAGCTGGGACTACAGGCACACACCATCATGCCCAGCTAATTTTTGTATTTTTAGTAGAGACGAGGTTTCACCTTGTTGACCAGGATGGTCTCGATCTCTTGACCTCGTGATCCACCCGCCTCGGCCTCCCAAAGTGCTAGGATTATAGGCGTGAGCCACCGCGCCCGGCCAGTATATATTTTAAATAGAGTTTCCAGCTAGTGTGTTGAGATCAAAGCATTTGTTAGTTGTCCTAGCATATTAATGCTTCTTCACCTCATCCTTTGAGAATTGCTGGGGCTTCCTACTAATAAAAGAATGCAGCAGGCTGGGCTCGGAAGGTCATGCCTGTAATCCCAGCACTTTGGGACTCCAACGCAGGTGGATCACCTGAGGTCAGGAGTTCGAGACCAGCTTAGCCAACATGGTGAAACCCTGTCTCTACTAAAAATGCAAAAACTAGCTGGGCATGGTGGTGCGCATCTGTAATCGCAGCTACTCGTGAAGCTAAAGTAGAAGAATCACTTGAACCCAGGAGGCGGAGGTTGCAGTGAGCCAAGGTCACACTACTGCACTCCAGCCTGGGCAACAGAGCAAGACTACATCTCAAAACAAAAAAAAGAATGGAGCTGTCTCTGGAACTTACTATTCCAGAGCTTAGAGACTTTACTGTTAGTGTTCCCTCTCCTCACTTTTCAGTCAGCTGAAAATTTCAAGGGAACAAAATATTTCTTTCAAAAGATAGGAACCTATTTTAAAAGGTATTGTATTTCAAAATCATGCTATCTTATTAAAATAGTTGTCATTTAACAATAAACATACACTTCATCCTTGAATTGCTCCAAAGTGATTCTGTGTCCATCATCTTCTAAATCTTCATCTTCAGTGCACAGACCAAGGGTTTTTAGGGCTGTAAAATAATGAGAAGAAATGAAAATTTACAAAGTGAGAATGATTTTCTGCTAGAAAAAATTATGGAATGGCCACAAACTATTACCTCAATTTGTAGAAAGTACCGACCTTCTTTATACTGCACAAATGATATGGTGCCTCTGTTGGAGGAGTCCATCATCTCAAACATAGATACAACATTAGAGTTATCCATAAAGAACGGGAATGCTACGCCTGTTACTTTTGCAATTCTCAGACGTTCCAATAGAGATATTAAATATTCTCTTGGTTTTTCTGCAAAAGAATAGTTCCAGCTCTTTCTGATATGAAATTAAAATATATTGCAAATAGAAGTAGTCATTTAACAATTATTAAACAGCTGTAGCAGGGGCACTGTACTAGGCACTGGGGATACAGGCCTTTTCATAAAACAGTTCAGCAAGAAGATAAGACATCAAACAAATAATATAAATGCCCTATCTCTGATGATTGAATAGAAAACTACAGAAATTGGACCTGGGCATTTTTTAGAATAACTCCCCAAGTGACTATAAATTGTAGATGGGGTTGAAAACCAGAAAGAGGGAACAGCATAATGCAGGAAAGAAGTTGGCCACCTAAAGAGCAGAGAAAATATAAGTAGGCCAGGCGTGGTGGCTCACACCTATAATCCCAGCACTTAGGGAAGCTGAAGCGGCGGATCACCAGAGGTTGGGAGTTTGAGACCAGCCTGACCAACATGGAGAAACCCCATCTCTACTAAAATTACAAAATTAACTGGGCGTGGTGGCACATGCTTGTAATCCCAGCTACTTGGGAGGCTGAGGCGGGAGAATTGCTTGAACCCAAGTGGTGGAGGTTGCCCTGAGCAGAAATCGTGCCATTGCACTGCAGCCTGGGCAACAGAGTGAGACTCCATCTCAAAAAAAGATACATATGTATACATACATACAATGTATGTATTTTTTTTTTGAGAGAGAGAGATATACATACAGAGACTTGGAATAAATATGGTCTTCTAGGAAGCATATGTATTCATTTCTGACATAAAATTATTTTGGATAAATAATATACTGTAGTTTAAGCAATTTTAAAAATGAAAAATCAAGATCAACCTACTTTTCAGAAATAATTCAGGACAATCATGATGAAAAGCAGCCAAAAGGAATAGAGATAGAGCAGTTTGGATGCTACATACCTCTTGCTGCTTGATCATTTTATCATTTCAATCTTAAGCTTCATGCATATATTTTTAAAGTTAAACAGCGACAGGATCTGGCTGTGTTGCCCAGACCCAGCTCAAGCAAGCCTCCCACCTCAGCCTCCCAAAATTGCTGATATTATATGCATGAACCACCATGCTTGGACAACTCACATGTTCTTTAAAAATTTGAGTTACATCATTACTGATAATAAAAGTAGACAGAAAAGTATAATGAACCCATCACCAACTTCAACTGTTAAAATTTGTGGCCAATCTTATTTCACTCTAACCCTATCCACATCAATTTATAAGGAACAAAATTAATCTTGTTTGTGCTTAATTGAAGAGGATTGACAACAGGACAAACAACAGCCCAAACCATAGACATCTCGGTTCATTTTACACAATTCTGACTGAAACAGTCAAGCAAACTTTGCATTCAATCAGTGCCAAAACCATTGTACCAGATAAGCTGCAGACAAAAGCACAGCTTTCAATGGAAATTTTAAAACAAGTAGCATCAAGATCCTGAAGCATTTCTTCAAAGAATTGAAATGAGATGAAAGAAAGTTCTACAGTATGATCCTGAAGAGAAACTCTATCAAAGGAGTGGGTACCAAGAGGTGACGTGGTCCAGTCCAAGCACAAGTCAAGAGCAAATGTCATGGCAATAGTTTTTTGGGATGGTCAAGGTATTTTGCTTGTTGATTTTTTTACAGTCCCAAACAATAACATCTGCTTATTATGAGAATGTTTTGAGAAAGTTAGACAAAGCTTTAAAGAAAAGCCCAGGAAAATTTTACCAGAATGTCATCTACTGCAACAATGCTCCTGCTCCTTCCTCTCATGGAACAAGGCAATTTTATAAGAGTTTCAATGGGATATCATTAGCACCCACCTTACAGTCCTCATTTGTCTCCTTTTGACTTGTTTTCTGATCTTAAAAAATCTTTAAAGGGCACCCATTTTTCTTTAATGATGTAAAAAAGACTGCATTGACATGGGTAAATTCCCAGGACCCTCAGTTCTTTAGGGATGGACTTAATAGCTGGTAACATTGTTTACAAAATCATCTCGAATTTGATAGCGCTTATGTTGAGAAATAATTTTTAATCTTTTTTTTTCCAGTCTCTGTAGAGACTGTCAAAAATTGCCAATGCTGACTATACTGCAGGTCATCACAGTGGGGTATTGGGGAAAAGTTTTCAATTACCAATAATCGTGCCTCAGATAAACCTCATAAGCTATGATACTGCCACTATACAAAGCTAATTTGTAATCTTTTAATTCCATTTCTCTATGAACTTTTTGAAGTCCCCTTTTACTTATTTTTTCATGAGAAGACATATAATCTACTCTGTTAGCAATTTTCAAGTATAAATGTATTATTAGCTGTAGTCACCATGATATACAGTACATCTCTTGAACTTACTCCTCTTCTGAAATATGTCCTTTGGCCAACATCTCCCCAATAACCCCGCCTTCCAGCCCTTGATGACCATTCTTTTATTCTTTTTATGAATCTGACTTTTGCGGATTCTACATACAATTAAAATCATGAGATATTCTTCTGTGCCTGATTTATTTAATGTTTTCTAGTTTCATCCATGTAGTTGCAAATGATAAGATGTCCATTTTTTTTAAGTTGAATGGTATTTCATTGTCTATATATGTCACATTTTCTTCATCCATGGACACTTAAGCCATTCTATATATTGTCTATTGTGAATAATGTTACAATAAACACAAGTGCAGCTATTTCTTCAACATACTGATTTCACTTCCTGTGAATATATGCCCAGTGGTGGGACCGCCAGGAAGGTTCTATGTTTAATTTTCTGAGGAACCACCATGTTGTTTTCCATAATGGTTGTACTAATTCACAATCCCACCAGTAGTGTACAAGGGTTCCTTTTTCTCCATATCTTTGCCAACACTTGGTATCTTTCATCTTTTGTTAGTGTTTTAGAGATGGGGTCTCATTATGTTGCTCAGGCTGGTCTTGAACTGCTGGACCCAAGTGATCATCCTGCCTCAGCTTCCTGAGTAGCTGGGACCGCAGGCATATGCCATAGTGCTTAGCTATCTTTCTTGATAATAACCTTTCTAACAGGTGTGAGGTGATAGCTCATTGGGGTTTTAATTTCCATTCTCCTGATGATTAGTGATATTGAGCACTTTTTCATATACCTGTTGGTAACTTCTTTATCTTCTATAGAAAAATGTCTATTTAGGTCCTTTGCCTATTGAACAAAAATTGGTTATTTTATTGAGTTCTTACAAGTTTTGGATATTAATCCCTTATCAGATACATAGTTTGCAAATATATTCTCCCATTCCATAGGTTTTCTCTTCACTCAGGTTATGTTTTAAATCTTTTAATTTATAGGTTTTCACTCCATCTTCATCCTTGGGAATTTATGTGTTGAAACCAGAAGTGGACTTTTAAATCTAGTATTGTACCTTACTTGTATAAGCAGGTTCCAGCAATAAATAGGCTACTAAAGGCAGTCACATTTTGTTTGAAGTCTGTTTCTTCTTCCTGCACCATGTATCAAACTCGGAAACTGGAAATAGGCCAAGTTTAAATTTCAACTCACTATCTTTTTAAGGCTTGAATAAGTAAATCATGCTAATGGAACTTGGTGTAACACTTTGATGAAAACCCAAACCAGTTTTATTGTTGTGTATCCTTTTAGGCTGCATGAGATGTTATAATGTTTATGCTTGTATACTACAATTTATACTGTACCCTGCTTTTGAAAATGTTTTGAGCCGGGCACAGTGGCTCATGCCTATAATCCCAGCACGTTGGAAGGTCAAGGTGGGTAGATCACATCAGGAGTTCGAGACCAGCTTGGCCTATATGGTGAAACCCCATCTCTACTAAAAACGACAGCCAGATGTGGTGGCAGGCGCCTGTAGTCCCAGCTACTTGGGAGGCTGATGCAGGAGAATCGCTGGAACCAGGGAGGCGGAGGTTGCAGTGAGGTGAGATCGCACCATTGCACTCCAGCCTGGATGACAGAGTAAGACTCTGTCTCAAAAAAAAAAACAAAAAAACAAACAAAAAAAAACCAATGTTTTGAAAATGCTCACAGCATAAATATTTAAAGACAGAACCTTTTTAAAACATGAAGGGAAGAGTCAAATGTTACTAACCAACTATGTTACGTAAATGTAACTGGTACTATATGCCTGGTACTATGTGAAGCATTTTCTATGAATAACTTCATTTACTCCTCACAACAGTCACTTGCTCAAGGCCACACAGCCAGTAGAAATCCAGGCAATGTGCTTCTAAAGCTTGCAGACTTTACCACACTCTACTAACTAAAATATGGGAAGCATCTTCAATGGTCAAATCTAGTCAGTCACGATGGTCTCTACTGAGTTTTTTCTCAATAGCTTTCAAATTCATTTCACTCTACCAGTCCCACAGCAATCTCTCTCGTTTGGGTTACTATTAGTATAATTGTGTTATTTATAATTTTATTAAAGCCATCCCCTAAAACTTCATATTCCCTCCTTATATTGCATAGAATTATCACTGGTAGAGGCTGACCAGCCAGCAACTATATATATGGTGTATATATATGTGTACATATGTGTGTTTATATATACACACTGTGTATATACATTCTTATACACTGTATATATACATAGCATATATGTTTACATATGTTTATATATACATTTATATATGTACTATATAATATGGAGTAATACTGTATATATATATTTACATATACTGTGTGTATATATATGGTGTATATATAAACATATATACATAAACATGGTGTACATATACACCATATATATACACAGTATATATATGTGTGTGTGTATATATATATACATATACATATATATACATATATATACATACATATATATACATATATATACACATATATACATATATGTATATACACACACACACACACACACACACACACACACAATATTACTCTATTTTCATTCTGCTAAAGACATACCCTAGACTGGGTAATTTATACAGGATAAGGGTTTACTGGACTTACAGTTCCATGTGGCTGAGAAGGCCTCACAGTCATGGCAGAAGGCAAGGAGGAGCAAATCACATCTTACATGGATGGCAGCAGGCAAAGAGGGAGTTTGTGCAGGGAAACTCCCATTTTTAAAAACATCAGATCAGGCCAGGTGCAGTGGCTCACACCTGTAATCCCAGCACTTTGGGAGGCTAAGGAGGGTGGACCACCTGAGGTCAGGAGTTCGAGACCAGGCTGACCAACATGGTGAAACCCTGTCTCTACTTAAAAAAAAATTGCCAGGCATGGTTGTGTGTGCCTGTAAACCCAGCTACTCAGGAGGCTGAGGCACAAGAATTGCTCTAATCCAGGAGGTGGGAGTTGCAGTGAGTTGAGATTGCGCCTTTGTACTCCAGCTTGGGCAACAAGAGTGAAACTTTGTCTCCAAAAAAAACCATCCAGTCTCATGAGACTCATTCACTATCAAGAGAATAGCACGGGGAAACGCTTGCCCCCACAATTAAATTACCTCCCACCAGCTCCCTCACATAATGCATGGGAATTCAAGACAAGATTTGGGCAGGGATACAGCTAAACTGTATCATATACATACACACATACACACACACATATATACATATATATATATACACACATATACACGTGTGTGTGTGTGTGTACATATATATATATATATATATATATATACACACTGAGATGGAGTCTCACTCCGTCACCCAGACTGCAGTGCAGTGGCACCATCTTGGATCACTGCAACCTCCACAGTTCAAGAGATTCTTCTGCCTCAACCTCCCAAGTAGTTGGGATTACAGGTGTCTGCCACCACGTCCAGCTAATTTTTGTAACAGCTAGCAATTACATTTCCCAATATACCCTAACTGAGGCCAGGTTTTCCTACCAAATTATTTCAAATCAGGTCAGGTCTTGCTGTTAAATGATGTATGAAACTGTTGGTTTTCAGAGCTTTCACAATTTTGAAATTGAGAATAGAGGACTGCATACCTGTTTCCTCAATAGTAATTGGCCAGTCAAGCTGTATAGTCTTATTTTCTGCAACTCTAGAATTCCAAGGTTTTCAAACTGGGACAAATGTCATAATACCAGGGCCTTCAAAAGACACAGGATAAGGCTAGCATGTCTTCCTAAGCATCAATCATACCTTGGTGAGTAATATAAAACATTTATATTAAGAAATGGGTATATCTACAGAATAACAGATCTCATGAATTTTTAGGACAAAACAAATGACTTCAAAGAAACTTATGCCACCTCAGGCTAAGGTGCCCAACACTAAAAGGACGAGTCCGCTCTCCTCTGCCATTGCTCTCCATCTGCCTCCTCTCCACTGTATATGTACTCTGCATGCCAGCCAACCCCTTCTTTAGCTTCATTACCTTCTTACTGTAGCTCAGTGTTTCTGAACCTAGTTTCCTCTCTCCAACCTTGGTGTTTATAAAGATGTTTTAAGGAATTTACATTATTAAAGATGGTACCCTGCCAGGCGCGGTGGCTTACACCTGTAATCCAAGCATTTTGGGGGGTCAAGGAGGATTGAGGTCAGGAGGAGTTCCAGACCAGCCTGGCCAATATGGCAAAACCCCTGTCTCTGCTAAAAATAAAAAAAATTAGCCCGGCGTGATGGTTTGCACCTGTAATCCCAGCTACTCTGGAGGCTGAGGCACGAGAATTGCCTGAACCCTGGAGATGGAGGTTGCAGTGTGCTGAGATGCACCACTGCACTCCAGCCTGGGCAACAGTGCAAGATTCCGTCTTT